GGAAGTCTATCGTTAGAAACTCTACAGTTAAGCGTGCTTGGCTTGGAGCAATTCTATGATGGGTGACCCCCTGAGAAGTTTTCTTGGGGAGCGTGAAAGTGAGGACAAAACATGCTGAAAAGACCCATGTTGGAACCGTGGGGACAGTACGTCGTCGATTTAACGGTCGGGACTGCCCGTTAAGTGGGACCCGGCAGGAGAAAGTGGCGGGAAATATGCCGTGTAACCTTTAGGCCACAGTTGCCCACCATAGGAAAAAAAAAAAACTCGTTCAACCTGATATTTATGGGGCTCCGTTTCGAATAAGACGTGGATTACCTGTCTAATTGAGTAAACGAGATGGGGACTGGATAAGAGTCATTACTCCAAAGCAAGTACGGGAAACATAGTTCCCACCCCATTCCGCTATCCTCCTCGTTTAAAGTTAATTTCAAATTTAAGTTTTTTATTAAACAAAAATAATATATTTATTATCATTTTTAAAGAGAATATAAAAATAATAATATTTATTAACTAAAGACACAAAGAAAATAAAAAAAAATAAATGGCTGCCCCACCCCATTCCGCTTTAATCGGGTATGGAGATGGGGGTAAGATAACAAAAATACCAGATGGGATGGGGGTGAGAATGACCGACCCATCCTATACCCATCTCGTTGCCAACCCTACCGTTGCCTCGTTGATCGATTGGATTACCAAATGCGTTGCAAAAGTTATGAACTGGATTAAAGGTGGTTAGAGCCTAAGAGGTATAAAAAATATTGTGTTAAGGTAAATGTGAACTTCAATGTGTCATGAATTGGCTAGTTAAGAAAGTTCACGGGGATATCTAGTAAGCTTTTATTAGGGTTGAAATTGTAGCTTGAAGATGATCATGCAGATAGCAGAGTTACTAACTCAACCCACATGATGATTTTCAATGTTAAAATACGACTCGAACTCGTAGCTCATGATTGTCGCCCTTGTCTTTGTGTTAAATCAACTCGCCGTAGATGGTAGGCTAGCTTTCACGGTAACCCTTCATTCATCAAGTTCCACACAATCTATATCATCATGTATATTGCCCCCAGGGCACATCTCCAAGTGGTAAAAGGGAAATGTGGAAAAATTTCAGGTTTGCTAGAGACTACCGCGTTAAGGTTTCGAATCCTGAAATATGGATTTGGCCCTTAGGTAAGTGCAAGTGTACAAGCAACATTCCACCCGGTACCCTTGAAGGCATAACCTATGATTTATCTCTTTCACCAAGGCCCAGGACAGGGCAGGTGGGGGCCGCCAAGGATGCGGTTCATCCTTTATATCTTCGTGTATATTTTCTTCGAATTGATTGTTTTGCCCCCAAGCGATGATTTCCTTTGTTTACTAAACTTGAGTTCTCTTTTGTCTTCTTTCTTAAAATATCCAATCCTAATGCATATTATGGTGTCTTTCAATTGTCATTGACTTTGCGTAATAATTCTTAAAGTGATTCGAAATCTTATTTTTTTACTTGTGAATCGTTCTAATCTAAAATTGGAATCAATTTAATTTTGAAATGATGTAGAATTTACAGATGTAATAATCCTTACTCTACTCGCTCACCAATTCAATTCAAGAAAGAGTCCGATCCATTTACATACTTTAAATTAGAATCGTTATTATTCTTTCAAAAAAAAAAAAAAAAAAAAACAAAAAGGAGTTGCTTAAGAGGAGGAGTAATTATCAACATTCAAGGCAGCGGGTTGGGTGAGACCCACCAAATCTTGGCCTAGCAAGCCCATAAAAATATCTGCAATCATTCCTTAGAGGAAATTACATGGAACCCTACCTTTCAAGTTCTATGTTCAAAAATCAGGGTAAATGTTTTATTACTAAATATAACAATTAAAAAACTAATTTATTTGCCACACAATTTAAAATCCCAACCCTAATTCTCTCTCCTCCCCTCCCTCGTCCCTGCCGCATTGGGAACTTCACCACCAGAGTTTATATTCGTCCGCCAATCGGAGCTGCTGCAGCCATGACCCTAACTAGGAGTTTCTCTTCACCGGAGCCACGACGAATTTGATTTGATTTTTGGTGAAATAAGCGCTGATGAGCACCTCGCACAGAGTTTGCCGTCGTGGTAGTCGCACAGTGCAACCACCACCTCTGCTCTCTCTCTCTCTCTCTTCCTCTCCTCCCTTTCCTCTCGTCTCCGTCTCAACAGTGGTGTAGGTGTGGCGGTGGCGATGGCGATGGCTATGGTATTTTTCGATTCAATTTTTTGGTGGTCTTTGCGTTGTGGTGTTTCGCAGTGGTCGCACTGTGCAACCACCGCTTCTGCTATCTCCCTTTTTCTCTCGTCTCCTTCTCAACAGTGGTGTTAGTGTGGTTGTGGCGATGGCTATGGTATTTTTTGATTCAATTTTTTGGTGGTGTTTACATTGTGGTGTTTGTGTTGTGATGTTGGTTTGTGGTGTAATTTGGGTGGTGGTGGTTCATGGTGCCACGAAGCTGCGATTTGAGCTAACTGTGGCAACAGTAATTTGGGTGTGGAGGTGTGACGGTAAGGTGGCGGTTGGGTGCTTGAGGTTGTGAACTGTGGTGGCGGATCTGGCGGGATCTGGCGGTTTTGGAAATGACGATTTTACTACTCATTGTCGTGGTGTTTTGGTGGTGGTGATGTTGGTCATGGTGGTTGTCTTGAGGCGGTGCTAGTGGTCGTGGCGATAGTGCAGAGGTGGTGGTGGTGGATCTGGTCATTTTGGTTTTTTTTGACTAAAAATATAATCGGTGACCTTAAAATTCGGTAATCTGTAACTAAAATATAATTCTTGACCAATCATTTTGTTATCTGTGACCTAAAAATTATAAAATATGTGACTAACTAATTTTGAAATTTGTGACCGTGTGACCAATAAAATTTGATTTGTGACCAACTAATTTTGAAATTTTTGACCACCGAATTAATTATGACCTACAAAATTTTTGAATTGTGACCGTAAAATAATCTGTGACTTATAAAAATTATAATTTGTGACTAAAAAATAATATGTGACTAACTAAATTGTAAATCTGTGACCGGAATGGTCGCCGGAATAGTTACCGGAATAATTGTCGGAATCGGAGCAGTTGCCGGAACGATCGCCGGNAATAGTCCCCGGAGTGGTATGGATGGGTTAATTATATTATATTAGAATTAAATATTTAATAATAAATTGATTTAATAATTTATTATTTCATAAATAAAAATAAAAAAAACCTGATTTTTGAATTTTCAAACTATATAACTGATTTTTGAATTGGTATAACTTATACACCTTATTTATGATTTTTCCCCTTAGAGGAAATTACATGGAACCCTACCTTATCACTGGCCCACGCCATTTTTCGAACCATTTAAAGCCTGTAAATACTAGCCTGAAGTTTTTGATCCATTTGATTCTTGATTCATCCCAATTTCAGCCCATGAGTCTTGAACATTAACTAAGCCGAAACAGGTCGAAAACCATTTTCAAAGATTTGATTTGAAAAGGGAAGAATGCATATCTACAAAAGATTTCAAGATACACTTTCAAAAAATAAGCAACTTGTAAAAAAGTTTCAAAAATCTCATAATAATATGTCAAGGTCGCAAATATCACACAATTATGTTCACAGTCACAAAGCGTATAAAGTTACAGTTACAAAGACACAAATCATGAGTCACAATTACAAATTTAATCATAACCACATTTTTTTAGGTCTTATATTATTTATTGGTCATAAATTACTCATTTTATTGGGTTACATATTATTTATTGATCACATATTATCAATTTTATTAGTCACAATCATCAAATAATTGGTCACGAACACTTTTCATTCCCCTTAACCACCACCAACAATCATTTGCAAATTGACCCCGATTTGAAATTGTAAGCAGGGGTGCGCATCGCGTTAGTGTCTGGTTACAGACGGTGCGACATCTTAAGCGCACAGTAGATGTCTCATTGCTGCAACGAAAGCGTCGAGGTACTACTTACGTGGAGGCTAGAGGAAGGTGTTGTCAATGGCGGAACAGTGGTGATGGGGAACGATGGTTACAGGCGACAATTGTGACATGTGGGTGTGATTGTAATTTGGGGTATTGGTAAAAGAAAAAAATTAGGGTGGGTGATATATGCTTGATTTTTGAAATAAAAACTTCACACCTTATTTTTGAATTAATAAGTTGAAAAGTATGGGTGAAATTTCCACATTTGAAAATAAGCCAAAAACTATCCAAATTCACTCTTAATTATGCCTTTGTTTGTGCCCCGTTTTATTGAAAAAAATACATTTTATAGTGATTTTTTAGAGAATGTGTGGTTAAAAATAGGAAAAAATTTTAACTTTACGCGTAAAATTATTTTATTGAAAAATGTGTGGTTGAAAATAAGGCTCTGTTTGAGCCACATTATTTTTTTCATTCTCATTCTTCTACTCATTTTCAACCACACATTCTTCAAAAAAATAATATTTTTCATCACATTAATAACTTTTCCTTCTTTTTCAATCACATATTCCTCATCACATCAATAATAAAAATGCATTCTTTTTCAAAAAATGTGCACCAAACATG